TGTGTTGGTTGAACTCCATGCTCTGGGTTTGAAATCCTTATGTTTCCTCCAACACACATCCCCACCTTGAGGCCTTTGCATAGGCGGTTCCCTCTGTGCAGACTTCTTTTTCTAATGCCCTCCCTCTTCCCCTCCTCTCTTCACCTTCTCTACCTGCTGAATCTGTTTAGATCCAACAGTACCCCTTGCATTTCTAGCTCTCCCAGACCTAGATGTTGACTGCATTTATAGTAGAGCATTTACCAGACTTTTTCTGTAATTACTGCAACCCCTCTGCCTGCCCTCTGCCTTCCCCCTCCCTCCCCCCAGGCTAACTCTTAGCAGGTCAGCCACACAGCAGGTGCTGGGTAGGAGCCCGAGGAGTTCAGGGCTCCTTGCCAGCTCGGCTCCTGGCACAGGCTCCCTGGCCTGGCCCTGGCACTGCCAGGGGAGGATGGCTGAGCCCCAAAGTGGCTCTCCTGGGATCAGGGGGAGGGCCTTTTCCTGTCTTCCAGGAGGCGCTAATGCACTGACATAGGGCAGGGAGGCAGGCGGCCGTCCCAGTGGGGTCACCAGGGACCTGCAGTGCGGCCTGCACGTCTGTGGAGGTGAAGACGGGCTGGTGTCCATGTGCACGTCTGCAGCAGCCCAGCTGGAGCAGCGTGGGGAGCTGCGGGACTTGTCCAGGGCCAGCCAAGGACAAGGGCACTCAAGGGGAGAAGAGACAGTGGCTCCGACTGGAGAGCCTGGGAGCCTTCCAGGGCCCCACGGAGCCAGGCTCAGGCCCAGGTGCTCCGCCTCTGCAGGTGGCCGTCTGCGGGAGAGAGCCAGAGGCCCCAGGTCTGAATCCAGGGGTCAAGGTGGACGTTACCTAGGGAAATGGCTGGCAGGGATGTGGCTCAAGACCTGTCTCCCACCCCCAGTCTCTTCCATGAACCCCTGGCCAGGAGACCTGAGAAGGGTTAAAAGTAGCAGATCAAACAGTGAAGCAATTCATTAAATTCACACACGACCCTCAGCACAAGGGTCCTCATCCCATGAAGGAGCTGTCACCTGCATCTTTACAGGGTGTGAGGTGGGTGGAGTGACTTGCCCAAGGTCACCTTCCAGAAAGCAGCAGACCCCGGTGACAGCATCGAGTGTGGGGTTTGGTCCTTAGTAGGTGCTCAATAAATATAATGAAAGAGCGAGGGAACGAACACAATGACCAAGGTCTCCTGAGTCCCATCCTAACACCCTTTGTACCTTACCATCTCCAAACTTATCCACCTGGGACAGCTCAAAATCTGGTTTGAATTTAAGAAACACCTGCAAAAAGATGAGCCATTTCCTGGAGGGAGCTTGTGGCTCTAACAACCCCCAAATCCCGTGGGTAGGTACCATTTATCAGCTAAGAGAGGATCTGGGAATACCCCTTACTACTACTATTTGAACACAGCCTCATTTTGGAGTAGAAAAACTGCCTCTTACAAATATGAGAAAACAATAGTATTTACTCTTTAAATGTCTAAAATGTTTTAAAACCAATTAATGAAAAAAAAAAAGTGCAAACCCTGCCAGAGTGTATTATTTGTTCTTTCCCTTATTTTCCCCACCTCCCAAAAGACAGGGGAAAACAAGGCCACATTTCCCAGGTTTAGATGATCTGATACTTTAAGGAAGAATAAATGGGCCACCCCTTACAAATTGCAGCCGCATCAAATGGATTCCTTTTGAATGAACCTGGTCACCATGGTGAGGCTTTCCTGTAGCCGAATAAAGACCAAAGCGGAATTCCCGCAGCCTTCGCCCAAGGTCACTCTGAGCATCAGTGGCAGCACTAGCGTCAGACCTGGGAATCCCTGACTGGTCTCTCTGTCCCTCCGCCAGCCGGTAGGTAATGATATGTGTTAACTGTCACGGACACTCCGGCCGGCCAACACCAAGTTCCAAGTTCCTGCACCTGTTAGACTGCCAAGCTACCCCACTTTTCTAGGGCTGTTTATTTAGAAAAAGGAGCTCAGCTCTGACTGACTCAGAGCTAGGAGCCAGCCTGGCAACTTGGAAGTTGAATGTCTGGGAGGATCCAGAGACAAGGAGACTGTGTTTTTACCTCCACTCGCCAAGACCTCCATTCTAGACCTCATCTGCCTCACAGTAGCTGTGTGACCTGGACAAGTTCCACCACCTCAATTAGCCTCAGCTTCCCTATCTGTAAAATGGGGACATACCGTGAAGACAGTTAGTGCAAGGCTCAGAGGAAGAAGGGAATATGAATGCACAAGACAAGAGGACCCTGTTCCCTGCAAACTGGAGACGGTGATTCCTACTTCACATCGCATTAGATGAGACTGGGAAATATAGGTACAGATGTATCTATATGTTGTCTAGACTAAAAAAATAGGTACTCTTAAAACAACAACAACACGAATTCATCCTTTCACGTGCTGCTAAATGGAACTTGGAAGTTTATACTTATTATTTAGGAAAGCTAATGAAATACTATGTTTTAGTTTTCTCTTTGAAAATGATCTCTGAACTTGAAAATTGAGCTGGAGCAATCAACTAGTATATTCTCAACACACAAATTATCCTTCTGGAGACAAATGAGTCAAGAATTGAGAGATAAATGACCAAAAATAGCCTAGAGACTCACATGGGACTGACTTCTTTGTCTCTCGGCTCCGAGTGCTCGCATACTGGGCCTGCCAGATCACCCCCGCCCTAGAACCCCCGCGCTGAGGCCTCAAACTGCACAATGCTGAAACTGACCTCCTGGTGTGGCCGTCAGAACGACACACACCTGAGCACCAGACATGCAGCAACAGCTCCACGTGGGAGGAGGGACGTGGAGATGAACCTTGAAGCTCCTGTGCAGTTTGAGGAATTATAAGGCTTAGAAGCATCTGGAAGAGCGTGATCAGTGTCCTCCAAGAGGACCAGAAAAATGGGTGATATCTCTGGATGTCTGGGTTTGAAATATGGCTCCAAACTCTGCCACTTAATATCTGTGTGATGTAGAGAGAGTTACCTCATCTTGCTGGGCCTTGATTTCTTCCTCTGTAAAATGGAAGCACTATATATTTTTTTTGGATCACAACACTGGTTGTTTAGGAGGCTCACCTGAGAAGGGGTTAAAAGCCTTTAAGAATATAAAGCAACGCCTATGTATGAGCCTCCATGACTATGTCAGGGACACAGACTTGGGGCAGGGCTAGCTGATGATGAAGCCCAGGTCGTGAGTACTTACTCCCTTTCTGGCATTGTCTGCAGGTGCTTCATGTTCATGACCCCACTTCGTCCTTGCACCAGACTCCAAGGGGAGTGCTATTACCATGTCCATGTATCGGGTGGGGAAACTAAGGTCCAGAGCGGTTAACTAGCTTGCCCAAGGTTGCACAGCTAATTAGCCATGGCGGTGGGATCAGGACCCAGGCAATGGGACTCTGGAGTCCAGGCTCCTGACCTTTAAGCCACGGTGTCTCCGTGAGCCGCAAGGACCTCATCTCCGGCACCTCCACTCCCTGATCTGTAACATGAGAATATCACACTCACCTCAGGAGGCAGCTTTGGGGACTTAAGGAGACAAGTAACGAATACAAATCTCCTGTTGCAACAGATAAGTTCACATAGTAGGTGCTCAATAACTGACTGCTTCCCAGCCTTTCCCCAAGACCTGCTGTGACTTTAGGTGACAAGGTGTAAGGAATGGTGGCACAGCCAGAAACTGCCTAGACAGACACCTGAGAACAGTACAACTCAGTGGTTACAAATAGGAACCCAGGTGTCTGGACTGCCTGAACTCCTATCCTGGCTCCACTACTTACTAGTCCTGTGGTCTTGGGTGTGTCACTTCACGTACCTGTGCCCGAGTTTCTTTATCTGTAAAGTGCACATAATGGTACCCACCTTGCAGGGTTTGGGTAATAGTGGGTATTAATTAATCTGTGCGAAGCTCTTAGAACAGTGTCAAGCACATGGCACACAGTCAATCAACACTAGCAATGATGACTTGGATCAGCACCCTGCATTTTCTGGGGGGCTCAGGGGCACCGCTGGGCCTTCGGTGGGCTGTGTGTTTTATGCTGCACTCCCTCCATCTCCTTGCAGACCCCAACCAGATCCTGGAAGGGTGGCAATCTCTACTGCCCGGCCACACGATGGGCTAGATGAACTTCAGAGGAGGGGCAGTCTCTCATGGGAGGGGCAGTGGGGATCTGAAAATGGTGACAAGTGCCACCTGGCAAACGGCACTGGGAGTCAGGGCAGTGCACACATCCCCCCCCCCCCGAGTTGCTGTGCTTTTTGCATTTGGAACCACATTTTGACTGGGCTGAGTGAGTTGTTGTTTTATTTCGTTTGCTTTGGACAAAAAATGAGGCCCCATAAATAATTGCAGTGCACGCGAAGAAGCAGAGGTGTGTCCTCACCCAGCTAGGAACTGCCATCTGCAAGGTTTTGCTAGAAAACTACAGGGAAGGGCATCATTTGCTTCTTGTGGACAGAGGGGCAGAGAGGGAGGCAGCGAGAGAGGGAGAGAGAACAGGAAGAATACAGGTGCAATTCACGCACACGGTATCTGGTCATTGCAGAACCAGAGCGTTCCCACAAACCTTGCT